GAGTGATGGCTGTAGTGACCACTGCAGTGTCCGGCCACCCTGAGCGCTGGGGATTGATGGGAGTGACCATTGTGGTGACCACTGCGGTGTCCGGCTGCCCTGAGCGCTGGGTATTGACGGAGTGACCATTGTGGTGACCACTGCGGTGTCCGGCCACCATTCAGACACCAGAGGAGGGGGAGTGACCGCTGTGTTGTCCGGAGCTCCAGGGGCATTGATGGGAGTGACCGCGGCGGTGTCTGGTACCCTGGAGCTTGGGGGGGATGGATGGGAGTGACCGCTGTAGTGACCGCTGCAGTGTCCGGCCACCATTCGGCCACCCTGGAGATCCCGGGGGATTGATGGGGGTGACCGCTGTAGTGACCACTGCGGTGTCCGGCCACCATTCAGACACCAGAGGATGGGGAGTGACCGCTGTGGTGACCACTGCGGAGTCCGGCCGCCATTCGGCCACCCTGAGCGCTGGGGATTGATGGGAGTGACCGCTGCAGTGTCCAGCTGCAGTGTCTGGCCACCATTCAGACACCAGAGGATGGGGAGTGACCACTGCATTGTCTGGAGCTCCAGGGGGATTGATGGGAGTGACCGCTGTGGTGACCACTGCGGTGTCCAGCCACCATTCGGCCACCCTGGAGCTTGGGGGAAATTGATGGGGGAGTGACCGCCGCGGTGTCTGGCCACCATTTGGCCACTCTGGCGCTCCAGGGGGATTGATGGGAGTGACCACTGCAGTGTCCAGCTGCAGTGTTTGGCCACCATTTGGCCACCCTGAGTGCTGGGGGGATTGATGGGAGTGACCGCTGTGTTGTCTGGAGCTCCAGGGGGATTGATGGGAGTGACCACTGTAGTGTCCAGCTGCAGTGTCCAGCCACCATTCGGCCACTCTGGAGCTCCAGGGGAATTGATGGGAGTGACCACTGCAGTGTCCAGCTGCAGTGTTTGGCCACCCCGAGCGCTGGGGGATTGATGGGAGTGACCGCTGTAGTGACCGCTGTGGTGTCCGGCCACCATTCGGCCACCCTGGAGATCCGGGGGGANGGGGATTGATGGGAGTGACCGCTGTAGTGACCGCTGTGGTGTCCGGCCACCATTCGGCCACCCTGGAGATCCGGGGGGAGAGGATGGGGAGTGACCGCTCTGTTGTCCGGAGCTCCAGGGAGAGAGGATGGGGAGTGACCGCTGTGTTGTCCGGAGCTCCAGGGAGAGAGGATGGGGAGTGACCACTGCAGTGTCCGGAGCTCCGGGGAATTGACAGAGTGACCGCTGCAGTGTCCAGCCGCCCCGGAGCTGGTGGGGGGTGGGGGATGGGTGGGCCGGACTCAGTGGGGGTCGAGCGCTCGGACATTGCCCGGGAAGGTGCCGGACTTTGGCCAGGCCGGGTGGACACTGCCCCAGGGAGGGGCCGGAGCGGCCTGGGAGGGGCTGAGGGTGGGCCAGGGTGGCCTGAGGGTCATCCAAGGGGTCCAGTGTGGCCTGAGGGTCATCTGGAGTGGCCTGAGGGTCATCTGAGGTGGTTCAGGGTGGCCTGAGGGTCATCCAGTGTGGTCCAGTGGTCATTCAAGGTGGCCCAAGGTTGCCCAAGGTTCATTCAGCGTTGTCCAGTGTTGCCTGGTGTCCATCCGAGGTGGCCCAACGTCCATCCGAGGTGGCCCAACGTCCATCCGAGGTGGCCCAGCGTCCATCCGAGGTGGCCCAAGTCCATCTGAAGTGGCCCAAGATCCACCCAGTGTCCATCCGAGGTGGCCCAACGTTCATCCGAGGTGGCCCAAGATCTATCCGAGGTGGCCCAGCGTCCATCTGAGGTGGCCAAAGTCCATCTGAAGTGGCCCAACACGCATCCGAGGTGGCCCAAGGTCCATTCAAGGTTCATTGAAGGTGGCCCAATGTCCATCCGAGGTGGCCCAAGTTCCATCCGAGGTGGCCCAAGATCTATCCAAGGTGGCCCAAAGTCCATTCAAGGCTCATTGAAGGTTGCCCAATGTCCATCCGAGGTGGCCCAACACGCATCCAAGGTGGCCCAGCGTCCATCTGAGGTGGCCAAGCGTCCATCCGAGGTGGCCCAATACGCATCCAAGGTGGCCCAAAGTCCATTCAAGGTGGTCCAAGATCAATCCGAGGTGGCCCAAGGTCCATCTGAGGTGGTCCAACGTTCATCCGAGGTGGCCCAATACGCATCCAAGGTGGCCCAAAGTCCATTCAAGGCCATTCGGGGTCCATTGAAGGTGGCCCAACATCCATCCGAGGTGGCCCAGCGTCCATCTGAGGTGGCCCAACACGCATCCAAGGTGGTCCAAGATCAATCCGAGGTGGCCCAAGGTCCATCTGAGGTGGCCAAGCGTCCATCTGAGGTGGCCCAACATGCATCCAAGGTGGCCCGAGTCCATCCGAGGTCGTCCAAGGTCCATCCGAGGTGGCCCAATGTCCATCTGAGGTGGCCCAAGATCTATCCAAGGTGGTCCAACGTTCATTCCAGGCCATTCAAGGTTCATTGAAGGTTGCCCAGTGTCCATCCCAGGTGGCCCAACTCCATCCAAGGTGGTCCAACGTTCATCCGAGGTGGCCCAATGTCCACCCAAGGCCCCCCACCGTCACCGCGGCCCCTCCCCCACCTCCCCCCGCTGGATCCCGGGACCCCCCGGACCCCAAATCCCGGGATTTTGGCCCAAAGCACTTAGGGAGGGGCGGGGTGGGGGAGGGGAAACCTTGACCCCCTCCCCCCTTCCATTCCCTCCCCGAAATCCAGGCCGGATTTTGGCGCTTTTCCCGCCAAAACCCCGATTTTTTTTTTTTTTTTTTTTTTTTTTTTTTTTTTTTTTNACTCGGACAAAGCCTACAGGTACGGGGGGATGGGGGACTCTGCCTCTCCAGGAAATTTTAGGGAACCTTTAGGTGGTTTTGGGGACCCCCAAGCTGCTTTTTGGGGTTTTTTCGGGTGATTGTGGGATCCCTGTGTCCCTGCAGAGACGTGGCTTGGCTGGGGGATTGTGACAGCGGCTGCCTGGCTCTGGCTGAGCTGTTGGGCTGGAAGGTACAACCCCCACCCCCCCAAATTCCTACTGCACCCCAAAATCCTTTTAGGACCACCCTGAGACCCTTTATCTTCCCCTCAGGAGGAGCTGGAGGAGCTGGTGCGGAGGGAACACGCAGCCATCGACGCCAAGGAGGAAAACAGGCACGGGGGGGACCCCAAAAAAACCCCGGGGGACAAAACCAACACTCAGAAAAATCCCGAAAAAAACCCGGGGGACAAAGCCAAGGCTCAGAAAAATCCTGAAAAAAACCCGGGGGACAAAACCAACACTCAGAAAAATCCCGAAAAAAACCCGGGGGACAAAACCAACACTCAGAAAAATCCCGAAAAAAACCCGGGGGACAAAGCCAAGACTCAGAAAGATCCCGAAAAAAGCCCAGGGGACAAAGCCAAAGCTCAGAAAAATCCAGAAAAGAGCCCGGGGGACAAAACCAAGGCTCAGAAAAATCCCGAAAAATCCCAAGGGAACAGGGACAAGGCTCAAAATGACGCTTGAGGGTCCAGCAAAGACCCTCCCTTTAGCATGGGTGGGCAACCCAAAATTAAATGGTGACAGAGGAGTTTTTGGCTTTGTGTGCTCACTGGGTGGGGAGAGGAGTTTGAGGGACTGGGCTTTTTTTTTCTTAAAAGGAAGAGAAAAACAAAACTATAAGAAAAGGGGGATGCTGAGGGTACAAAGTTTTTCCTTCCCTAAAAAGGGGTGTTAGAGCTCCAAAATGCCTGGGAATTCACAGGCAGGATGTGGGGGCGTGTTCGGAAAAGTGGAGTTTCTCACTTTATATTTACTGTATTTCCATTAAAAAAATAATTTCAAAATGAAGCAGTAGCACCGTCATCAAAACCCAGAATTTTTTAACAGTTTAAAGCAATGCAGTTCTGGCCTAACAGATGCTGCCTAAAGAAAAAAAAAAAAAAACAACTTCCCGAGTTTGAAAGGTTTTCCTTAGTGGAGTTAAAACCAAGCTTAAAAGCGCTGTGGAACCAAGTGAGTTGCCTTCCTAAAAGACCCAGATATATTTTATAATTTCGATACTTTAAAAGTTTACAGATAGGTTTTATGGGTTTGTTCTGCACTTTTGTCATTTTAGCGTCCTCCGACAAAAAAATAAAAAATGAAAAATAAAAAATAAAAAATAAAAAATAAATCGCATCCACATATTATACGGGATAGAACTGGGACTGAGGGATTGGAGCTGAAATCTTGTTAGGGCTGTGATAGGGATTGTAGGACTGAGCCTAAGCCTAAAAATGGACAGAGTGACCCTTGGGCCTAAAAATGGACAGAGTGACCCTTGGGCCTAAAAATGGACAGAGTGACCCCTGGGCGTCACTGGGACCCTGAGGGTGACACTGGGGACACACAGAGTGACCCAAGGGTGACACCAAGGACAGAGTGACCGTTGGGTGTCACCGGGGTGGTTTATTGTCCGTCCCCTCCCCAAATCTTCAGCCAATCTCCTGACCGCAGGGTTGGGGTACTCGGGGTGCTCAATGACCACAAAGTGACCCCAAAGTGACCCCAAGAACACACAGAGTGACCCCAGGGTGACACCAAGGACAGAGTGACCATTGGGTGTCACCGGGGTGTTTTATTGTCCGTCCTGTCCCCCAAATCCTCGGCCAATCTCCTGACAGCAGGGTTGGGGTACTCGGGGTTCTCCACCACCCCCGGGTGACACAGTGGACACACAGAGTGACCCAAGGGTGACACTGAGACCCTGAGGGTGACACTGGGGACACACAGAGTGACCCCAGGGTGACACTGGGGACACTCTTGGGTGTCACCGGCGTGTTTTATTGTCCAAATCCTCGGCCAATCTCCGGACAGCAGGGTTGGGGTACTCGGGGTTCTTGATGACCCCAAAGTGACCCCAAAGGTGACACAGAGTGACCCCAGGGTGACACAGGGGACATTTAGGGGTGTCACCGGTGTGGTTTATTGTCCAGATCCTCGGCCAATCTCCGGACAGCAGGGTTGGGGTACTCGGGGTTCTCAATGACCCCAAAGATGACCGTGGGGTGTCACTGGGGTGTTTTATTGTCCATCCTGTCCCCCAGATCCTTGACCAATCTCCTGACCGCAGGGTTGGGGTTCTCGGGGCTCTCGATGACCACAAAGTGACCCCAAGGTGACACAGAGTGACCCAAGGGTGACACAGGGGACACACAGAGTGACCCTTGGGTGTCACCGGGGTGTTTTATTGTCCAGATCCTCGGCCACCCTGCGGACAGCGGGGTTGGGGTACTCGGGGTTCTCGATGACCCCAAGGTGACATAGAGTGACCCCAGGGTGACAAAGGGGACACCCAGGGGTGTCACTGGTGTGTTTCATTGTCCAGATCCTCGGCCAGTCTCCTGACAGCGGGATTGGGGTACTCGGGGTTGTCAATGACCCCAAAGTGACCCCAAAGGTGACACTGGGGACACACAGAGTGACCCAAGGGTGACACTGAGGACACACAGGGGTGTCACCGGGGTGGTTTATTGTCCGTCCCCTCCCCCAAATCCTCGGCCAATCTCCTGACAGCGGGGTTGGGGTACTCAGGATTCTCCACCACCCCCGGGTGACACCAAGGACAGAGTGACCCAAAGGTGACACTGGGAACACACAGAGTGACCCTTGGGTGTCACCGGGGTGTTTTATTGTCCAGATCCTCGGCCAGCCTGCGGACAGCAGGGTTGGGGTACTCGGGGCTCTCCACCACCCCTGGGTGACACCAAGGACAGAGTGACCCAAGGGTGACACTGAGGAGAGAGTGACCCAAGGGTGACCCAGGGGTGTCACCGGGGTGTTTTATTGTCCATCCTGTCCCCCAAATCCTCGGCCAATCTCCTGACCGCAGGATTGGGGTACTCAGGATTCTTGATGACCCCAAAGTGACCGTTGAGTGTCACCGGGGTGTTTTATTGTCCGTCCTGTCCCCCAAATCCTCGGCCAGCCTGCGGACAGCAGGATTGGGGTACTCAGGATTCTCCACCACTCCCACCCCGAATTTGAGCTCCAGGAAGGCGCGGGGGTCGCGCGGCGCCCGGGCGGTCACTCCGGCGAAGGCCACGCTGGCCGGAGGCTGCAGGAGCCGCTCGGGGAACTCCACGTCCTGCGGGTGACCCAACCACGTGTCCTTGGTCATCACCCCGTCCGGCCGCGCGTAGAACGGCCACAGGTCCACGTGCAGCCTGTTTGTCCGGCTGTAGTGGACGCGGTAAAAATCGCCCTCGGCCGCTTTCTCCCACCAGAACCCCTCCGTGTCCTCCACGGGCCGGCCGGTGGCGGCCACCTGGGCCAGCCAGYGACATTTGGGGACATCGTCGCGGTACAGCCCCACGTCCACGTCGTAGTCCCAGGGGATGATGTCCCCGAGGCGGACGGCGCCCAGGAGTGACCCTCCCTCCAGCCAGTGGCGCACTCCGGCCGCCTCCAGCTGGGCCAGCACGTGCCGGGCGGTGGCTCGCAGCGCCCGCAGGCAGCAGGGCGGTGTCCAGCGGCCGGACAGGAGATACTGCGGGGTCTGAGAGTGGACGGTGCCAAAACAGCGCGGGGTGTCCTTGGAACAGCCGTGCCAGCTCCGGCCGCCGTCCGGCAGCAGCTCCAGCTTGACCCCCAGCTCGGCCATCAGTGCCCGGTGGCGCCGAGCCTGCGACTSCCGCGTTTTCCACTGGCCGTGCGGCGATAACGGCGACCGGGCGGTCAGCGGGAATGACCACGGCACCAGGAGCAGCCGCCAGCCGCGGATGGACGCCTGGATGGTCAGCGAGGTGACCACCGGCCGGCTCAGGGGGAACGGGAGAGAGAAAAGGTCGCGGGTGCGGAGCAGCAGAACGGCCGGAGCGCCGTCCAGAGCGCCGCAGAGCCGCGGGTGGGCGGTCCAGGGGTCACTCTGGGGGTCATTCCGGTGGTCATTCCACTGGTCATTCTGGTGGGCAGCACGGAAATCACCCCACTGGTCATTTTGGTGGTCATTCAAGTGGTCATTCTGCTGGGCAGCACGGAAATCACCCCACTGGTCATTTTGGCCGTCATTCAAGTGGTCACTCTGGTGAGCAGCATAGAAATCGCTCCGCTGGTCATTTTGGTGGTCATTCAGGTGATCGTTTTGGTGGTCATTTTGGTGGTCATTCTGGCGGTCATTCCGGTGGTCATTCTGGTGGTCATCGTGGGGGTTGGTGTTGTGACCATGGGAATCGCTCTGGTGGTCACCTCGGGGGTTGTTGTGGTGGTCACTGGGATCGCCATGGAGATCATTGTGATGGTCACTGTAGTGGTCACTCTGGTGGCCATTGTGATGGTCACTCTGGTGGTCATTCCAGTGGTCATTTCGGTGGTCACTCCGCTGCTCACCGTAGCTGTACCTCACCGTCCACGCCCTGACGTCCACGTCCATCTGCAGACACCGCGCCGGGCGTGGCCCCACTGCGGCCGCCACCACCCTGACCCCGCCCTGTCCCCCATCACTGTCCCCATCACTGTCCCCANGAAAAATTCCCGGTGAGAGACGTTGCCTTTTCCTGCTTCTTTTAAGGACGTTTTTAACATTTTGTGGGAATTTTATTCCCGGGATTTTTCTGGGATTTAATGCATGAGAAAAGCCCCCCCGAAATTCCCGATCCCGGCGGGATCCGCGGAGAAAAAGGAAAAAAAAGAGGAAAAAAAAAAAAAAAAAATTTAAAAAAAAAAAAAAAAATGAAGGAAAAAAAAAAAAAAAAAAAAAAAAACACAAAAAAAGGAAAAAAAAAATTTAATAAAGCTGAGGCGGCTGCGGAGCTTTTTCCTTGGAAAATGGGGGGAAATCCAGGGAAATTGGGGTGGGAATGGGGATTTTAATGGGAATTGGGAAATGGGATTGGGAACTGGGATTGGAATGGGAATTGGGATTGAAATGGGATTGGACTGGGAATTGGGCACTGGGAATTGGGGATTGGAAATGGGATTGAACTGGGAATTGGGATTGGACTGGGAATTGGGCACTGGGATTCAACTGGGAACTGGGAAATGGGATTGGACTGGGAATTGGGAATTGGGAAATGGGATTGGACTGGGAATTGGCATTGGGAAACTGGGATTAAAATGGGATTTAATCGGGATTTAACTGGGAATTGGGAACTGGGATTGGATTGGGAATTGGGGATTGGAAATGGGATTGAACTGGGAATTGGGACTGGACTGGGAATTTGGATTGAACTGGGAATTGGGCACTGGAAACGGATTGAACTGGGAACTGGGATTGAACTGGGAATTGGGCACTGGGAATTGGGAGTTATCTGTCCCTAGGGTGGCACTGGGACCCCAAGGGTGACACAGAGACACACAGAGTGACCCAAAGGTGACACAGGGGACACCCAAGGGTGTCACCAGGGTGTTTTATTGTCCGTCCCCTCCCCCAAATCTTCACCCAATCTCCTGACATCGGGGTTGGGGTACTCGGGGTTCTCCACCACCCCCGGGTGACATTGGGGACACACAGAGTGACCGCAGGGTGACACAGGGGACATTTAGGGGTGTCACCGGCGTGGTTTATTGTCCAAATCCTCGGCCAATCTCCGGACAGCGGGGTTGGGGTACTCGGGGTTCTCCACCACTCCCACCCCGAATTTGAGCTCCAGGAAGGCGCGGGGGTCGCGCGGGGCCCGGGCGGTCACTCCGGCGAAGGCCACGCTGGCCGGAGGCTCCAGGAGCCTCTCGGGGAACTCCACGTCCTGCGGGTGACCCAACCACGTGTCCTTGGTCATCACCCCGTCCGGCCGCGCGTAGAACGGCCACAGGTCCACGTGCAGCCTGTTTGTCC